CCACACTTTTCACTCTGCTACTGTCTTTACTTACTCTGTTCAACCTGTTTTCTATTGGTAATTAGTTTTTCTATCAATGTGGTTTTTTTGGGGGGTTTTTTGTCTTTCTGATACACCTGGACCTATTTTGGTCCTACCATTCTGTGTTCGTCTGTCTCTCCTTCCTGTCCTCTCAACCAGCCGGTCAAAGCAGATGGTCTCTTGTCCTGAGCTGGTTCTGCTGGAGGTTTCTTCCTGTTAAAGGGAGTTTTTCTTTCCACTGTTGCCACTGTGTTTGCTCAGGATGGGAGACTGCAACGAAGCCAAGATTCAACTTGTCTGCTGATTCCTTAGATTTAGCACAAAGGAAAGTCTTAATCCTAGTTTTAAAACTGGATAATGTGTCAGCCTCACGGACAGAGATTGGAAGTTGGTTCCACAAGAGAGGAGCCTGAGAACTGAAAGATCTGCCTCCCATTCTGTTTTTGTAAATTCTAGGAACCACAAGTAAACCTGCAGTCTGAGAGTGAAATGTTCTGTTAGAAAAATAGGGTTTTTACAGTATATGACAGAAATTATAATACTAGTAAATCAGAAAACCAAAAGTTATATAGAAGGGTGAGAACAGAAAAATCAATAAAAAATTTAAAAAGTGACTTGATGGCGCAAAACTGGGATACTATTTATCAACAAAAAGACATAAATGATGCATGCAAGGCATTTCTTGATGTATTTATGGAATTACATAATAAACATTGTCCAGTCAAGATGTATAATAAAAAGAATAAATATTATAGTTGTCCTTGGATCACACCAGGACTGCAAAATGCCTGTAAAAACAAAAATACATTATATAAAACTAAGAACTAAGGAAGCAGAATCTAAATATAAAAAATATAAAAATAAATTGATAACTATCATTAGGTTTTGCAAAAAAGAATATTACAACAAAAAAAATGGATGAAAATAAACATAATATTAAAGAAATATGGAATATCTTAAACAGTATTATAAAAAATAGTATAAATAAACGGGATTATACAAATTATTTTATTCATCAATATATTGAAAACTATAATGTGAATGAAATAGCTAACAGTTTTAATCAATTTTTTGTAAACATTGGACCTGATTTATCTAAAATGATCCCTGAGCTGCCACATACGGAACCAAATTTAAATAAAATAATAAACGGGAACCTCAACTCAATGTTCCTCGGTGCTGTGACTGAAAAGAAATAGTCGACATTGTAAATAAATGTAATAATAAACAGTCTACTGACTTACATGGGATTGATATGAAACTGGTACAGCATGTCATTGAGGGGATTTCTAAACCATTTACATATATTAGTAACTTGTCATTTCAAACTGGTTCATTCCCAAGTAAAATGAAAATAGCTAAAATATTACCGTTATACAAAAATGGGAACAAACATCTCTTCACTAACTATTGACCTGTCTCTCTGCTGCCACAGTTCTCTAAAAATTAGAAAAATTATTTAATAACAGACTGGAAACATTCTTAGATAAACTTAAATTAATCAGTGAAAGTCAGTACGGCTTCAGATCAGGAAGATCAACAATGCAAGCCATTTTAGAAACTGTAGAGGGGATGGATAACAAGAAAATTGCTGTTGGAGTGTTTGTGGACATCAAGAAGGCATTTGACACAGTCAGTCATGATTTATTACTAAAAAAACTTGAACGCTATGTGATAAGGGAGTAGCACTAGACTGGGTTCAAAATTATTTGAAAGGCAGACAGCAGTATGTGAAGCTGGGAGATGTTTGTTCTGGATGTTTGGACATTGTTTGTGGGGTTCCTCAGGGGTCAGTCCTGGGTCCAAAACTGTTTATAATTGATGAAAATGATTTATGTACTGTATAAGAAATAATGAAAAGTATACTATTTGCTGATTATACAAATATTTATTGTGTTGGAGATGACATGGAACAACTGTTAAAGGATGTAACTAATGAATTGAACAGACTTAAAATGTGGTTTGATGAAAATAAGCTGTCCTTGAACCTCAACAAAACAAAAATAATAATGGTATTTGGGAACTGTCAATCACATCAAGAAATTCAAATACAAATAGATGGAGTGAAAATTGAAAGAGTTCATGAAAACAAATTTCTTGGTGTCATTATTGATGATAAACTCAACTGGAAACCACACATAAAATATGTTCAAAGTAAAGTCTCAAGAAATATCGCCCTCTTAAAGAAAGCCAAGTTGGTCATAGGACAAAAAGCATTACATGAACTCTACTGTTCACTAATCTTACCTTATTTAAGCTATTGTGCAGAAATCTGGGGCAATAATTACAAAACTACACTACAAGCATTAACAATACTAGAAAAAAGAGCAATAAGAATAATCCATAAGGTGGGATATTTAGAAAGCACTAATGTACTATTTGTAAAATCTAAATTATTAAAGTTCATTGACATAGTTAAACTACAGACAGCTCTAATTCTTTACAAAGCAAAAAATAAACAATTACCAGAAAACATTCAAAACCTGTTTAAAATTAAGGAGCAAATTTATACGTTAAGGAGGAATCACAGTTTAAAATATGCAAAATTAGAACTATTAGAAAAAACTTTTGTGTATCAGTAAATGGAGTCAAACTGTGGAATAATTTGTATATTGAACTTAAACGGACGGCATCTGCAGCCAGTTTCTTAGGATCCACTGTGGGATGGATCTTTGCGGGAGGTCCTTCCTGCCTATCAGTGTCTATGGCATCTCTTAGTGAAACGAGGATAACGAGTTACTACAACAAATAATTTCCCTCCGGGATTAATAAAGTATATTTGAATTGAATTGAATTGAATTAAACAATGTCCAAACATAAAACTGTTCAAACTATCATATAAACATATGATCATTGCTGTATATAATATATAGTAATATTATTCATTTATTGTTGTTGTTGTTGTTTTTGTTATTTGTTATTGATGCTTTTGTTTTTTGTGAAGTTAAAGGAATAATAATTGTTCATCTACTATAGTTAACTTAAATAGATACTATATTGATGGATAAATATGGGATTAGTTGTTATATTTATGGATTATACATGTAATGAATGTAAGATTATGTAAGTGGTTAAGGAGTGGGAATTTTGATAAGTTTATACTTCTACCCACTCCCTTGAATATGTAAAACAAAAAGTTTTGACATTATGCTTCATGCTATATATTTTTTTTCTTTTTACATATTCAAAAAATAATAAACTAAACTAAAGTACTCCTTACTTCTGCTGAGGTCACGCTGAGATGCTCTTCATCCGGTGGTGAGGTGAGTCTGGTGCTGGGTGGTCTGTTCGGGTCTTCAAAGCGTGCATAGAACTTGTTGAGGGCATCAGGCAGAGATGGGTCTTTGGGGCATTGTTCGCTCCTTCCTTTATAATCTGTTATGCACTTAATGCCCCTCCACATGCTCCGAGGGTCTTGTGAGGTGAATTGACCCTCGATCCTCTGTGCATATGTGGCCTTGGCCCTCTTAATACCAGCAACCAGCTCTTTACTTGTCCTTGTCAGCTCCTGTGAGTCTCCACACCTGAAGGCAGTGTTCCTGGCTTCCAGCAGAGTGTGAACCTCTGCATTTAGCCAAGGCTTCCTGTTTGAGTAGCTCTTAACATATCTGATGGTGGTGACGTCATCAGCACATTTACTAATGTACCCCAGAACTGAGGATGTGTATTGCTCCAGTCCATTATCAGGCTCCTATCTTGTGGAACCAACTTCCAGTTTCTGTTCATTAGGCTGACACATTATTCACTTTTAAGATTAGTCTTAAGACTTTCCTATATTGTTAGGGTCGGCTTGGGTTTCCTGAGCTGTCCCTTAGTTATGCTGCTATAGGCTTAGACTGCTGGAGGACAAACTGGTCACATTTCTTCACTATGCTATTGTCTTTACTTACTCTGCTCAATCTGTTTTTATCTGTAATTATTTTTTCTGTCCTTGACATGTGTTTTTGTCTTTCTTCCAGTAGGAGGTACACCTGCACCTACATCTGGACCTACCATTCTGTCTTCGTTTGTCTCTCCTTTGTGTCCTCTCAATCCCAGCTTGTCGAAGCAGATGGCCACATGTCCTGAGCCTGGTTCTGCTGGAGGTTTCTTCCTTTTAAAATAGAGTTTTTCCTTTCCACTGTTGCCACTGTGCTTGCTCAGGCTGGGAGACTGTGACAAAGTGAAGATTCAATGAGACTGCTGGCTTCCTTAGATAGAGAACTTTACTAATTGGCTTTTCTATGTATGTGAATGTTCCTGTAAAGTGCCATGAGGCAAATTTGTTGTGAATTGGTGCTATATAATTAAATTGAACTGACTTGAAAATTGGTGCAGCATCTGCAGTATTGTGGGCTCATTGCCGGTCTGTTGTGGTGAAGAGAGAGATTAGCTGCAAAGCAAAGCTCTCTGTTTACAGGTCGGTCTACGTTCCTAGCCTCACCTATGGTCATGAGCTGAGATCGCGGATGCAGGTGGTTGAAATGAGTTTCCTCCGCTGGTTAGCTGGACTCTTCCTTAGGGATAGGGTGAGAAGTTCAGTCATCCAGGAGAAACTCATTGTAGATACGCTGCTCTTCCACATCAAGAGGAGCCAGTTGATGTGGTTGGGGCATCTTGTGCTTTGGGCATGTCTGACTGGGAGGAGACTCCAGGGAAGACCCAGGACAGGCTGAAGCAACTATGTCTCTCAGTTGGCCTGGAAATGCCTTGGAATCCTCCCAGAAGAGCTGGAAGAGGTGGCTGTGGAAAGAGATGTCTGGGCCTCCCTGCTCAAGATGCTGCCCCCACGTTCTGACTTTGGATCAAGTGGAAGATAAATGGATGGATGCTTTTCAGCATCATCCAATTGGAATATTTTGCTTCACTTTCTGTCAATAAAACTATTTTCCTTGGCACTTCAGAACAGGGCAGTAGATCCAAGGAGAACTTCAGGTTTAATAAAAACAAAAATAGGATACCCCAGTATGAATGATGGAGGGTTTTTTTTTGTCTTGTAGGAGAAAGTCCAGTCAGTCTCCAGTTTGACCTCAATAACCTGTTCCAGCTCGACAAGCTCGTGCTCAACTTCAAGGTATGACATGCTAAAAATATATTGAGCTGAACTTTTTAATAAACTAACCGTTTAAGTTAAACAGAAATGTCACATAATTTTAAAACATAAATCAAAGCAATTGTTGCAAACGCACACCATGTTCTGCTCATAATAATAATTATTATTGTAAGACCATTCCAGTGCACAATGATGAACAAACCCTGTGATTGTTGGCTCTACAGGGTCCCCGTCCCCAATCATTGGTGATAGAGAGGTCTATGGACAACAGTGGAATGTGGGAACCTGCTCTCTACTTGGCCACTGACTGTCAAAAAGCCTTTCCTGGTGTCCCAACGACAATACCGTTAACTCTGGACCAGACGTACTGCCATACCTTAAGCCATCACTCTGACCTCTACAAGGATGAGAGGGTAAGGACAAACAGCTGTGGTCCTATACATGCAAGGTGTATTTGAAGCTACTGTAGTTCGAAAACTGGGCTCAACTCCTTTTAGAAATCACAAGTAATACAACACCAATCTGTATGAAGGGTGGAATGTGACAAAATGAAATGAATAAATGTATCATTTAAATATTAAATACATCATTAAATACATAATAAAATTATTAAATACACAATTGAATATAAAATAAAATTATTAAATACAAAATTTAATGTTTTATTTTATGATTTATTTATTTATTTCATGTTGTCACATTCCACCCTCGTGTGTCACCATGAAATTTTGTTAACTGTCAGTCTCACTCATCAAACTCAGTGGGCGGGACTAACACTGATCATGTGAAATCCATTGCTTCGATCTGATGTCAGTTCATACTTGGCAGCTTCCTCCATGCAGGACCTTAATTTGCTCTCTCATGAACTGGTTAGCTATTTTAAGCCAAGGTAGGGATATAGAAGTTTACCCAGAGTTTGTTGTAAATTTTATATTCTGAATCTAAATTGTTAGATAAGCCATAAGTGTTTCACGAGCATTACCCTAAGATGATATAATATTTGATATATTGTTATGTTTGTATTGTGTATTTATTTATTTCATTTTGTCATATTCTGTCCTCCATAAATTTGATGTTACTTTACCTCACACTTTCTGCTTTAGATTCTGTATTTGGTCAAAGTAAAATGGCATTTCATGCATCTTTTTCCATTCAAAATACAACAAAAATTCATCAGTCCATCCATCCACCCATAATCTATCCATCCATCTATTCATCCATTCATCCATCCATCCATTCAGCCATCATCCATCTGTCCATTCATCCATCCATTATTCATCCATTCATCCATTCATCCATCCATCCGACCATTCATCCGTCATCCATCCATCCATTCATCCATCCATCATCCATCCGTAGGCAGCTGAGGAGTATGGGAGGGCCAAGCGGTCCACAGCCTTGTCTATTACTGAGGCAAAAGCTCAGATGTGGGAGAAGTTTGGTGAGGCCTTGGATAGAGACTCTCAGTTCGACTTCAAGGCGATTCTGGCAAACTATCAAGCAGCTGAGGAGGGAAAAGCAGCACTTTACTAACACAGTGTTCAGTGAAGGTAGGGTACTTTTGACCTCAACCAGTGATGTCATCAGGAGGACGAATACTTCTCGGACCTTCTCAATCCCACCAACTCATCTTCCATGAAGGAAGCTGAGTTGAGAGACTTTGGAGTTGGTCCGTCCATAACCGTGGTTGAGGTCGCCGAGATAGTTAAAAAACTCTGAGGCAGCAGGGCTCCGGGAGTGGATGAGATTCACCCTGATTTCCTAAGGTCTCTGGATGTTGTGGGGCTGTCTATGCTGACATGCCTTTGTAACATTACGTGGACATTGGGGGCAGTGCCACTGGATTGGCAGACTAGGGTGGTGGTTCCCTAGTTCAAAAAGGGGTACCGGAGGATGTGCTCCAATTATAGGGGCATCACTCTCCTTAGCCTCCCTGGTAAGGTCTGTTCAGGGGTACTGGAGATGTGAGTCCAACCGTTGGTCAAACCTCAGATCCAGAAGGAACAATGCAGGTTCCGTTCTGGCCGTGAAATACTGGATCAGCTTTTTACTCTCACTAGGGTCCCTGAGGGGTCATGGGAGTTTGGCCATTCATTCCACATGTCTTTTGTGGACTTGGAGAAGGTGCTCCTTGGGGTACACTATGGGAGGTGTTCCATGAGTATGGGAATGGGGGCCTGTTGTTACGGGCTGTTTGGTCCCTATACAAGCGGTGCAAGAGTTTGGTTCGCATTACCAGTAGTAGGACCGATCCCTTCAGGGTGGGAGTTGGGCTGTGCCAGGGCTGCCAATTATCACTGATTCTGTTCACATATTTTATGGACAAAATGTCTCAGTGCAGCCCGGGGGTGGAGGAGTTCTGGTTCTGTGGCATCAGGATTACATCTCTGCTCTTTGCAGATGATATGGTCCTGTGGGCGTCATTGTGCTGTGATCTTCAGCCCTCACTGGAGTGGTTTGCAGCCGAGAGTGAAGCGGCTGGGATGAGAATCAGCACCTCAAAATATGAGGCCATGGTCCACTACAGAGTCCTGGCCTGATGATGTTGATCTTCTGTGCTGGGATGGCCCACTCTGCGGTCTACACTCATCTCCAGGCCAGCAGTCATTCTTTCAGGGATGAAGATGTTCACATCCTGGATAGAGAGGAACGATGGTTTGAGAGAGGAGAAAAGGAGGCCATCTTTGTGAAAAGAAATCGTCCATCGTTAAACAGGGGTGGAGGCCTCCATGTTCAACTGTCCCCCTCTTACAATGATGTGATTGCTAGTATCACTCAGCCCTCTGTGAACAGTAAACAGCCATCAGTGTGCTAATGATCCATTGTTAGGCTGATGGTCCTTCTTGACCATGTGAGCAGCTGGTTTTGGTTGTCAGCAGCAAACTGGTTGATCCACTCTGAGAAGGTGCTATTTAAGAGACTGAGCTGAATACAGCACCTCAGACTGAGGAAGTCTCTCGGTTGAAAGACGAAACGTTTCTACATTTTTTTGTTGTTTTGCTTTGTTTTTTTTGTTTGTTTTTTTTGAATGTCCAGAGGACCAGATTTAACTTTTTTAGAGTCTATTAAATTATTAAAGGCTATGCTTCCCATGGGCTCACCACCTGTGGGAGGGGCCAAAGGGGTCGGGTGCAATGTGGGATGGGTGGTGGTCGAGGGCGGGGACCCTGGCGGTCTGATCCTCGGCTACAGAAGCTGGCTATTGGGACGTGGAATGTCACCTCACTGGTGGGGAAGGAGCCTGAGCTGGTGTGTGAGGCTGAGAGGTTCCGGCTAGAAATAGTCAGACTCACCTCTACGCATGGCTCGGGCTCTGGAACCAGTTTCCTTGAGAGGGGCTGGACACTCTTCCACTCTGGAGTTGCCCCTGGTGAGAGGCACCGAGCAGGCGTGGGCGTACTTATTGCCCTCCAACTTGGTGCCTGTGTATTGGGGTTCACCTCAGTGAATGAGAGGGTGGCCTCCCTCCGCCTACGTGTGGGGGGACGGGTTCTGACTGTCGTTTGTGCTTATGCACCAAACGGCAGTTCAGATAATCCACCCTTTCTGGAGTCCTTGGAGGGGGTACTGGAAAGTGCACCTCCTGGGGACTCCCTTGTTCTGCTGGGGGACTTCAATGCTCATGTGCCCAAGTTCAGATCCACAGTTAAAAACTTGGGAGTGACATTTGATAAAGACTTAAAGTTTGACAAACAAATATCCTCTGTAGTCAAGGCCTGTTTTTATCAGTTACGTCTTTTATCCAAAGTTAAGCCTTTTTTAAATCGTTCTGACTTGGAAAAGGCCATCCATGCTTTTATAACTTCAAGGCTCGACTACTGCAATTCCCTATATGCAGGAATCTCCCAATCCTCCATTAGACGCCTGCAATTGGTCCAAAATGCTGCAGCTCGACTTTTAACCAACACCTCCAGACGTGAGCACATCACCCCTGTTTTATTTTCCCTCCACTGGCTTCCAGTCGATTTTAGAATTAAATTAAAAATTTTATTATTCACTTTTAAAGCTCTTAATGGTCTTGCCCCACTATATTTTTCTAATCTTGTAGCTGTCCGTGAATATAGGAGAACACTGAGATCATCTAATACATTTCTACTCTCTGTCCCAAAATCCAACTACAAACGATGGGGTGACCGGGCCTTTTCGGTTGTCGCACCCAGACTCTGGAACCAGCTACCTCAGGACTTGCGCACCATCACTGACATGGAGCATTTTAAATCTAATCTTAAAACCTTTTTATTCAGGCAGGCTTTTAATACCTAGTAGGTCTTTGACAATTTTGCTATGTTTTAATTGTTTTTGTTTTTAACTGACTGATTTTTTTATTATTCTTGTTTGTTTTTAACTTCTGTACTGTGAAGCACTTTGTGCACCTTTTGGCTGCTGGAAAGGGCTCTATAAATAAAGTTTGATTGATTGATTGATGTGGGCAATGACAGTGAGACCTGGAGGGGTGTGGTTGGGAGGAACGGCCCCCCTGATCTGAACCAGAGTGGTGTTCTGTTGTTGGACTTCTGTGCTCGTCATGGATTGTCAATAACGAACACCTTGTTCAAGCATAAGGGTGTCCATATGTGCTCTTGGCACCAGGACACCCTAGGCCGTAGTTCGATGATTGACTTTGTCATCGTCTCATCTGATCTGCGGCCACATGCATTGGACACTCGTGTGAAGAGAGGGGCGGAGCTGTCAACTGATCACTACCTGGTGGTGAGTTGGCTCCGATGGTGGGGGAGGATGCCGGTCAGACCTGGCAGACCCAAACGTATTGTGAGGGTTTGCTGGGAACATCTGGCAGAGTCTCCTGTGAGACAGAGTTTCAACTCCCACCTCCGGGAGAACTTTGAACATGTTCTGAGGGAGGTGGGGGACATTGAGTCTGAGTGGACCATGTTTCGTGCCTCTATTGTCGAGGCGGCTTACCAGAGCTGCAGCCGCAAGGTTGTCGGTGCCTGTCGTGGCGGCTACCCTCGAACCCGATGGTGGACACCATCGGTGAGGGATGCTGTCAGGCTGAAGAAGGAGTCCTATCGGGCCTTTTTGGCCTGTGAGACGCCGGAAGCAGCTGATAGGTACCGGCAGTCCAAGCGACATGCGGCTCGGGTGGTTGCTGAGGCAAAAACTCGGGCATGGGAGGAGTTCGGAGAGGCCATGGAGAACGACTTCCGCACGACTTCGAGGCGATTCTGGTCCACCATCCAGCGTCTCAGGGGGGAAAGCAGTATGCCACCAACACTGTTTATAGTGGGAGTGGTGTGCTGCTGACCTCAACTCGGGATGTTGTGGGTCGGTGGGCGGAATACTTTGAAGACCTCCTCAATCCCACCGGCACGTCTTCCACTGAGGAAGCGGAGCCTGGGGACTCTGGGTCGGGCCCTCCAATCTCTGGTGCTGAGGTCACCGAGGTGGTTAA